AAGGCAAGCTTGTGCTCTATGTTTTCAGAGGTGAGAAGTATCTCAGATTTGATGAAATTCCATCAGAATAGAGGAAATTCGGTAAATTTTTCTACTTTCTCACTCTCTTGTGGTCTCCGTGCATACTCCGAATCAGAATTAATCAGAATCAGAATTAAAGCATTATTTGAACTTCACAAACAATATTTTGTTACCCACCCCTTCTCCCCTTTTAGACTTGAAAACTGACCACTATCTAGTAAGCAAAGATCCAAAAAGAGTATATACTATGAAAGGGGGGGGGGCACATCTTAAGTAGGATAAAATTAGCAAAGAAATGCAAAAGAGAACATGCAGTGTAACAGAATAAATACTGAATCAGAGCAATTCCTGTGCCTGTGCTCACTTGATTTGACTATAATGAAATATGAACATAACAAACAGTAATCAAGCTCCAAAGTCCATTGAAACAATATAAATTGTGAGCAGAGCAAACACAGACCTCTAAAAACATCAGAGGTGGGATCAGGAGCCATAGAGGAGTAAGCATCCCCTGTTGAGTGGTCACATCTGCTGGTCGTGTAACAAAAAATCCATAAACAATTCGGTGTGAAAATAATGGCCTAAGAATTTGTATGAAAAGTACCAGTCAACATTCAACTTAACGACAGACTGTACTTAATAACAAGGTCAGTGTGTCAACCATAGAATTGGTGAATGTTGACTTTAAATGAGACTGTTGATATCACTGTATAATAATCGCAATAAAAGTTTTGAAAAGGGAGAGGGGTGTTAAATTATGTATGGAAATTTTCATAATTAGGCCAGCTGATCACCCAACCCATTATTTTTGCATTATAGTATTTTGGAACCGCTCACATTATTGATCTAAAAATATTTTCTTTGATAATTAGAGTGCTACCCCAACCCCACTGGGATTTAAAATTTTGAGTTTGGTGAAATAGCCCATTTCCTTGTTTTCCTTTGAAAACATTGCTACAGGCCTGAAGGGGCAGACAAAATAATGACATTTTATAGGTTATTCTCTCAACCGTGTGTTAGTTTTTTCTGAGTTAAGAGAAGCTATCATAACTATGGATCAATCCCCTTTTTGGACCAAAATATCAATTATTTAATAAGCATGTTACTTCTCGTATGATTTCTTCTTTCTTTATATTAATTTTTAATAAATCAAATGTAATACTGAACACAATTTGATGTATGAAAATTATACAAAAAGGTTCTAAAAATACATGTATCAGTTGTGCACATTTATGTACATCAAGATAAAAATTTGAAGTCATTATGATTACGATGATATGCTTTGAAACACTTAATACATAGATTCACGTTGCACTGTTCACAACCATATGAAGGTTCTTTTCTGATTTTGTGTTTTGAACACTCTTTGCATATCCTCTTCTTAGGCATGACTGTAGGCCAATGGGTTTGTTGTACATGCAAAAGTACTTGAGCTACATTTGTAATAATAAAGCACAAAACACAGTTTAACAGTATGTGTGCCATATTGTTTCTTTATTATGATGTAAATACTATAATTTGACAACTTCTAAAAGTTTACACAAAATAATTTTGAAATTTTTTTTACAGTACTGGCAGAAACTAAAATTTTACAATACTGACAGAAATTACTATCAGAGAAAACAGATACATCACAAATGTAATATAATTTCTAACTTCTATGGTTACATGTACATGGTTAAGGAAACTGATACTCTCTTATGCTCATTTTCTAAGTCTTCAATTTGTTTTCAGAGTAGAACATAGGGACAATCTCATAATCTATTTGATCAACATTGTGAACATGGTGAATACCCACATATTCTGTAGTGATAGACGGTATAAAGCATTAACTGAGGGAAGGTCCATGGAGCAAGTTCTGTCATAGGTAGTTTCAACAAGCAACTATTTCCACACAATATTGCATTTTTAAGTTTTATCAGAATTATAATTACAGTGACAGACTTCACTTCTACTGGTATAGTGAAATCTATTTTGTTTTCACCATTTGTTTCTTTTAAATTCCCTTTTCTTTGAGAAAATTTCTCTACACTCAAAATATTTCATATGAAGAATACATATCTTAAATTCAAACAGTGTAATTTAATGCAGCTCTAAACAATGATAATTTTTGTTTTAATATTACACACTTTGGTGCAGATGTCCTTTTTTCACTCAACTATGAAGTTTTTATTCATAATTTTCAATCAAAACTATGCAATGATAAAAGTTATGTTTCTGTTTCATACTCCAATGATTTTTTATGTGGAAATGTCAAGGATACCAAATTCCTATCAAACATTATTAATACCAAAAAATTGAAGAATTATAGCTTCATCCCATCTTAATTTGTACTAATTAAATAAAATTATGGATGGATTTTCAAAATTTGCAGCATGTAATATTTTCAGTATATGCATAAGAAGCATATAATATATAATTTGCATGATTTCAATCATGCTGGATGAATATTTGCATCATTTAAAACATAGTCAAGTATAATTAAATGAGATACAGAGATTAGTTACTGCAATTCTGCCAAAATGAAAAAAAAATCAAAATACAAGCCAAAAAAAAAAAAAAAAAAAAAAAAAAAAAAAAAAAAAAAAAGATAAAACATATTAACAATAGAGAATGTGCTAGAGATCTATAAATCAAAAATCATTTCAATATTTTCAGAAAATTTCATGAAGCAGTAAAATTTTTTGAGAAATTTTAATGATTTTTTTTTATCAATAGAGTTTATTTGAAATTGATCCTAAATAACAAACATTAGGGCTATTCCAGTAAAAGTTATTTGAGTGGGTGGAATGCCATCTTAATTTTTTTCTCTATATAGTGGGATTGTAAACTGTTTGTTTTTGCACTGTCAGGGATTTATCAGTACCTTCTCAGGGGCCGAAATTTGGCCCCATTCCCAATTGAAAATGAGTTAATTTTTTCCCAATTTGGCAGTATTTTTTCCCAATTGGTTAACAATGCTTTTATATTTATTTATCTTGGAAGAACACAGAGTAAAATTGTCAGATTGTCTGTAATTTTCATCTATTAAACTCATTTAGCAAAGTTTCAGTCATAACACGTTTAAAAACACTGTAAAAACATTGCCAACTTTTGATCCGAATTTCCTCCGATTTTCTGAAAATGGTGATATTGTGTAATAACATAGATTTATTAAGTTATTTCAACCTACTCAATTGATCTACGAGTGAATGGTAAGGACTGTAGGCATTGTTTCAAATAGAAAAATATATTTTCAATGCATTAATACATAATAAAAGAGGACTTTGAGAAAATGTGTACTTAGTATAATTTTTTGCAGGAGGTTTATAATATCCAGAAACAGATTCTGTAATGACCTAAATTGGAATCTCATACACACATGTACTACTCTAAGTTGTATAAACAATTTAGACTCATTGAAGTCAATTTAACTTTTATTAGTTTATTATTCATAATTGCATGATCTTGTATAAATTAGTTGGATCATATTTAATTGTCTGTTTGGTTGCCCAAATTAGAGTTCATGCTGAAGTGTTAAATCAATTACACCTGAATACATGATTTAAGCAATATTTTTAATTTTTCCCAATTTCATCAAATTGCCGATAATTTTTTCCCAATTCCCCAAAAATGGCATTTCCCAAAATAGGCTGATAAATCCCTGACTGTAGAGGGAGGGAGTAAATTATTTGGTTTCTTACTGTTGGTGAGGGTTCTATCAAGTTCTGTGCTACCAAGTTTACTAAAATGAAGAGTAAATCTTAATGAAATTGAGATAGACTCTTGTCTTGGCTGTTTTTTTTTTTACTACAACAAACCTTATCCCAAAGTGAAAGAGTTTTCTTTCCAAACGTTGTTTTACTTAGAAACAAATAATCTTATTTCATTGTACCATTTATTACTTTCATGTTTTATCATAAAGATGGAAATTATGTCATGTAAACCTACTCTCTCAAGAAACTTCTCCATACAACCATTGCCAGTCCATTTCTTGAATTAATTAATCAGAGTCAAAGAAAATTTGAGCTGAGCATGTACTATTGGTATGTTTAATATGAGCCCTTAATAAGTCTTCTTTTTACATGTCTCCAGTTTAGTGCTCATATAATTGTGGCAAGTAATTAGTCATACTGTCGATTGTAAACCTTATACCAACCAAAATTCCTTCATTCAAATACCCCTTTTTCCTGTTCTACTAGAAATAGATTCACATAATTAGACACATACCATGAAAAAAGGATTAATCCATATTATGAGGCAGATTGTATCAATAATCACTTTAATATTCCTAGCACACTTGCATTATTGCACTTTTGGATTTTGGTTTTTTTCTTTGTGTGTGTGAATGTGTGTGTTTGGGGGGGGGGGGGGGGGGGGGTAGGGTCAAAAATTGAATTCTCTTGGTTTTTGTAAATTTTATTATTTTCTATAGGTGGAGGATCTAAAAATTAGTGTGACATCCCTCACCCTTTCAGATAATTTTAAATGGAATAGTCCTTACCATGATTACAGAACAAGTCAATACATTGCCTGCAAGTATTTGAAATTCCATCCATATCAATAGTTAAGGATGGTGAAATTTATTGTTTGTAGCTAAAATTTGACCTCTTTTATACCCTTAGACATGTAAATGAATGCCAACAATGTGTATTTGGCATTCACTGTGGTGGGGCTTCAATGTTTGATTCAATAACTTTCAAAAGCACAAAATTGAACCTTCCTTATCTTGTGTTAAAGGACTTTCAAGATTTCCTTCTATGTTTGACCACCCTTTATCTATATCACATAATTTAAAGTTTGTATATTGAATTGCATAAAAGATCAGTAACAAAGGGATTAGCATAGGATACCCATTATAATAATAAATGTCTTCAAAAATTACACTTTCTAACTGTAAAGACTTACACTTACAAGAAAATTAATTTCTTTCTTAAAATACCCAGGGCCACCTCAAATTTCACCATCCTTAAACTCAAATAAATGAAAAATAGACCTACCTTTATTAAAAGAATCTTGCCAGGACACATTTGGGTCAGCACCTAGATTGCTGCTGCTCTCATTGGAGAAGTCTTCCCTTGACCATTCACCTGGAGGATCTTCCAGTTCACCAGTGTCTTCTGTATCCTCTTGACCACCAGGGTGGACAGGCTGCTTGCTGTCCTCAGGAATATCAACATACATGTCTAGTCCCCCTGTGTCTTCTTCCTCCTCTATCTTTATTATTGTCAAGTCTGTACTTGATTCTCCAGCTTTCCCACCTGCATTGTCACTACAAACAAAAAAAAAAGCTTTTTAAGTCTATTGTCAGACATAAAACATAACTGATAGTAAAATGATAAAGCAAAGTCCAAGTTCGTGCACTTGAAGATTATATAGACAATAGTTTGTGAAAATAATACCTTGTACTGTAAACTACAGATCCAGACAAGACATTCCTTTACAATTATTATGGTCTATAACAGAATATTTAATCAGAATTAAAAGCTGATGACAGCATTACCTCTGTGAAGTGACGGGTTCAGATGCCGCCAGCAGCCGCTCCACATCTTCAGAGTGTATCTCAATGGATTTCTGTGCCACTGTGTCTTTTTCTTGCTGTTTGTCTATGATGGAGTCTTGACTTTGTTGAAGACTATCTGTTGAAGGCTGATCAATCATGACAGTTTGCTGTCGTCTGCTGACATCTGTTGAGGGTTTGGTGGGTGATGGCAATGGCTGTGAAGATTCTGAAACACTTCTGGGACTCATAGAAACTGTGCCCATTGCAGAGGTTGGTATATGAGGACTGCTTGACTGTTGCCCAGTAACAGCTGCAAAAGTGGGCACTTGTGATGCACTGCCTGCAGCAAAACTGGCCTGTGATGGACTACCAGCAGCAAAGGATTTTTGAGTGCTTTGGACACCAGGCATTGACATGTGCTTTAATTGTGGAGGGTGTGATACTGGATGTGATGTTCTGGGTGGTGTCTGTTTATTGCTAGGTACTGATTGGCTGTACTGCTGCTGTCTTTGGAATGATCCATCTAACTCAGTTCTTGGTGACTGGGACTGTTCTGTACTGAAAGATGGCTGTTTTTGAGTTGATCTTGTTGACTGTGAATGGTCAAAACTAGTGGAAAGTCTTTCGTTTGTTGCATCAGACCATCCTCTTCCTGTACTTGGTGGCTTAATTTGTGGTGGTACTGCTGAACTAGAAACATTTATTATCTGAATGTCATTGTCTCCTCCCTTTACTTGGCTAGAAACTGCAATGGACATACTCTTCTGAACTGGTGGTCTGTCTGATTTCTTTGGCCACCCATCTACATCCCTCTCTGGAGGTTCAGTATTAACTAACTCTACAGAATCTTCTATAATTTCTATTACTCCTGGTGGGGGTTTCGGTTGAGAAAAACCTGATCCAAGTCTTGGAACACGTTCAAAAGGATCTTGTGTATAACTGTGAGCCATGCTGAACCTGTCGTCTGCTCTCTGCCCTATTGCACTTGGACTAGATGGATGTACCCTTGGCCTTTTACTGCCAGGACTAGGGGGTCTACCACCACTGTCTGAGGATCTTTTCATTGCACCCTCTTGAAGTGTCTTTTGGATGTTGGTGGAACACACATAGCGGAATTCAACACCGTCTTGAACCTCAAAATTAGCACCTTCATAGGATGACATGCCAGATTTGACATTTAAACATTTCTGAAAATCAGTGCAGCATTTTGCTACACTGTCTGCATGAAGAAGCTTTGCAATCTTTTCCACATCTTTGCAGTTTTCCTCTGTCAGCATCATGTAACCTTCATATAAGTACTGCAAAAAGGTGTTGACTGAGTTTTGCTTGATATCTGCATTTAGGCGAACTTCTAAATGAGATCCAACTGAGGCATTTTCCATATGCTGAAGCATAGGACAAGCTGCTATTAATACCAGTCTGTGTGCCTAAAATAGTCAAAAACATTCACTAAGCCTGATACTTTTTTAAAAAATAATTGTAAAAATCAATGTTACAAAACCCATGATTGCCTTAATAAAGGAGCAATATCTATGACATTCTTTATATTAATAAATACAACCTTAATTACAGTGAAGCTGTCATGTCAGAGCCATCGATAAACAATTGAAATGTACAATACATATTTATAGCACTTTTACTAAGTGATTAAATGTGAAACGAAAGAAGACAACAGAATGAAAAAAATACACCCCACCCATGGATAACATAATGATGTAAAGGATTTTATTGGGAATTTTGCCCTTGGTATTACAATATTTTAGGCCAAAAAAAATAATAGTCTTGTTTCCTGCTACCCGACCTACCCTATTTTTTTGCACCCGACCCTAAAGTTTTTTTAAGTTTTGGAAGAAAAAAAATCGAGAATTTTCGGAATTTAATCCTTCTGTCACCGTAATCAGTTTGTTAGCACAAAACAAGCATTTCATGAAATTCTTGTTTTAAATATGGACTTTCATAAAATACCTCTTGAGTTGTGCATAAAAAGACATGAAATTCAATTTTAAAAAGACAATATTGACCTGTGACATGTTTAATTTTATCTTGTATTAGTTCATATCCATAAAATGCTGTCAGAAAAAAAATAAAATAAAAATATGAAATAAAATAATTTTCCTACCTTCCGACCCGATCTTTTTCAGGCTGGAAGCAGGAAACAAGACTATTATTTTTTTTGGCCTTACCATCAGAAAATGATCATCGTAATAATGAGATTCCACTGTATAACAATATTTTATGAATCATTCCAATCAAGACACACTGTGTTGTATGCATTGCTAACTGTTCAAATTTTGAAATATTCTAGGATATTCTAGGTTTACTTTTTACCTTAGTTTGAACATTTCCTGTTTTAATGACCGCATCACACAGTAGCTGGTTTTTCCACATCTGAGCCACCTGTCTCATAATGGAGCTGGAGTAGATCTGGTTCATGTAAACTTTCTGATAATTCATGATGTTAGTTTGTGTAAGTAACTGGAAGCTTCAGCTGTATATAATATAGACTCTACCTGAAAGTACATTCAATTTCCAAGTAAATAACACAGTCAAATATGTATTATTCAAGTAATGAGGACTATGCTTATGCCTTTACTATAATTCGATAGGTATATGTAATACAATTATACACAAAGCGACCACAGAAATTTATTATCTGTTGTGCATAGAGTCATAGACCAATGCAGACAAAATGGTCTACAGCAGTGCTGAAAGATTTTTTTAGTAGTCAATCCTGCTGGCCCATCCGATTTTTTTTCTTACCATGTACACTGTTATAACTACCCTGTTGTTGTGTTTAAATTATATGGTCAACAGGTCCAGTCCAAAGACTGTTTCTACCTACATAGCTACTTATAGTTACCTAGGTATTTAAACCTACCCAAAGTAGCTATTTTTACCTACTTTTTGCTTTACTTGCATTTTGTGGCCAAATGCAGGAACGGCACAATATGGTGAGCACCAGATTTAATAATACAGTCACACTGATGATGAATATGACTAAATTTTGGCCAAAAATGATTACTTCGTAAATTAACAATTTTGCATAGGAATTTATGCAAAATTGTTAGTTTACGAAGTAATCATTTTTTAGCCAAAATTTAGTCATATTCGTCATTAGTGTGACTGTATCAAGAAATTTGGTACTCACCATGTTCGTTCGGCCGTTCGGTCACAAAATGCAAGTAATGCAAAAAGTAGGTAAAAATAGCTACTTCGGGTAGGTTTAAATACCTATGTAGCTATTAATAGCTACGTATGTAGAAATAGTCTTTGGACTGGACCTGGTCAAAAATAACACTAGAGCAATATTGAGAACAAAAGTCTTTTGGCCAAATCTAGCATCTAAATTAAGTTATAATAATGCTATATTAATATTATGCATTTCCTTGTTTTATAAGACAGAGTTATTTAGCATCTAATTTGGGTTATAAGAATGCTATATTAATATCATGCATTTCTTTGTTTTATAAGACAGAGTTATTTAGCATCTAATTTAAGTTATAGGAATGTTATATTAATATTATGCATTTCTTTGTTTCATAAGACAGAGTTATCGGTCTTGCAACGCTTGCGAGAGCTAAAAATAGATACTATCACCCACTAACCATCTCACAATAAAAACTCTAAAAAATGCATTAATATACAAGACAATGTTCTTCTTTCAAATAATACACACCTAGTTACCGTTAACTTTAGCTTGAATTAATGGAAATCAACAACGATTCTCCTCGCACCTGCTATCCGCCATATCTTTTGTCCCTGAACTTTTTATAATGTCCAAAATCCTGTCGGTGAGCCAAAAAATATCCGGATGAGTTTTTTTTGTGAAAAAAGATTTTTTTTTCTTAGCTTCTTAAGATATTTTATAAAGAAAAAACTTTAAGAAATAAATAAAGAGGACATTACTGTCAAAAAATGTGAATATCTACCTGTTTCAATTTGTAGTGTCTATGAGTGCTGAAACAGGTCCGTGGGAAGCAATTTCAGTTGGGGGGGGGGGGGGGCACTACCAAGCGAAGTTTCCTTGAGATACAAATAAAAAGTCATCAGACTTTATTATTGAGCGGCACAAACATAAAGTAGCTAAAATACCTACATGTTTTTATAGTATATTATATAATGGCAAAATTATTAGGGGCATGTCCCCCGTACCCCCCCCCCCCCGGTTCATACGGTCATGTGCAATTCCCTTTACAATTTAGACAGTAACCATCTTTCGGAATATGACAGGTGGTGTCCTGTAGATGAGGTTTCAGAGTTTTCATTTTGAATTTCATCCGTGGACCAAATGGGAGTTGAAAATTAAAAGACGTTTTCATAAAACGTTTTTTTTCGACAAAAACTCCTCTTACATTTTACGCAGTACGAGGGGTTATTCAAAAGTTCGTGGACAGATGTGATAAAATTAAAAATCTGAAGTCGATGCTTACAAGATTTATAGGAACACACAAACAACAAAAGTTTAAGAAGTAGTTGAGAATTTTAGCTTGATACGTTGATAATTTGCCCATGTGCGGATTTAGAGCCCCCCCCCCCCCGGAATCGAAATATTTACACTGAAATCGGTGCACTTAAAAATGAAATGGAAATAGGAAAAAGAAGAAGAATGTGTAACAGATTAATTGATGTATGCAAATTCCATGTTTTGGTATGCTTTCGATAAATAATCAAGCGAAGTTTAAGCGAGGTGAAGCGGATGACGAAAAAAGAGTTGCAAGCCTTCTCGCTTTTTATGTATCAGTCGAAAATGATATATGATATATTTAAAAACAGCTTATTGAGCCAAAAGGATTACATTATCGATAACATATAGTGCATATTAGAATACAAAAATAGGAAAAAGGTCTGTCGATCCCAGATTTAAAAAGAAAAAATGGAAAGGTGGGGAGGGGTCCAGCCCCCAAGTGCCTGTGAAAAATACATAGGGTTTGGGGTCCCCCCCCCCCCCAACAGGGCTGGGTGCAGTACTGAATAATAAGAGAAACTAAAAAAACTTTTTATAAAATAAAAGAAAAGATGAAAAAATCTTCATATGCATGAACGAGGGAACTTTTGATTGGCATTCGGCAGGAATCAGCTGGGCGCACTTGAAAAATGAAAATTTCATTGTTCTGTCACATAGCTTAAGCATTCTTTTGATGTATCGGGTTCCTGTGAAATAGGAAAACGATATATTTTCTCTACATTGTGTTTTGATTTGCAAAAAAATAACTTGAAAATAGGCTAGAGGATTCATTTGGTACAAAATGTCACATTTTTAAACTTCTAAAAATTTGCTATCTCTGGGTCATCTCTCTATGATTTTCAAACGTTATTTGTACGCATTCTAATTCAAAGAAACAATCATTTGTAAAAAATGGAGAGAAGACCCAGAGACCATAAAAGATGAACTTTTTCCAGTAAAAATTCCAATGTGTAAATGCGGTGCTTCATTGTCGTTTTAAAATCCTTGTTGGATGTGTATCGAAGAGAGCTCAATATTTTAATGCAAACGATCAATTCTTTTCAGTGTCAGTTTAATTTTTTTGTACTGATTTATTTTAAAATGGATAAATTCTGGTTCTGTTGCATCGAGAGCTAAAGCAATTCTTCCAACCTACTGATACAGTGGCGGATCCAGAAATTTCTTAACGAAGGGTTGTTAGTAGTATTATTTTATCAAAATTTATGTACTAAACCGAAGGTTAATGCTTGTTATACAAACAAAATTTAAAAAAAAAAAATCAAAGGGGGGGGGGACGCACGCCCGGCGCTGGATCCGCCTTTGAACTATATCCTTATTATCTTGCATGTAGGTCTTATTTATTTATTACTATGTTAAAACATAGTTTATTACTATGTTATAGTATGATTATTAAGATAAGCGGACCTAAATATTACAATTTGACACGTACATTACTTCAAACTAAATGTAACATTTTCCCACATTATGTGCGTAACTTTGTAAAGCCTGTCCATACGGGCTTGTCTTCCGGATTGTTAAATGTAAAATAAATTAATAAAATTAAGATATGTAAACTCTAGAGTTTATGTATATAGGTGTGGTACGTCTTTTTAAACGTGGTTTTTCTTGACTGAAAGTGCCAGAATCTTTATTTTAACAACTTTAATTTAAGTGTATTTAAAGTAGATTCAAAATTTTATTAATTTATTTCTTCTTCTTCCAGTAAGGGGTTGACTTCTTATTAAGAGTGATAATAACTCCTATGAGCCTGTCCAGCTGTGGTCAGCCGACCAAATCGTGGACATTTAAACTAAAAATGTTTCGTACACATGATTCCTGCAGATCACATGCAAAATACGCCCATCTTCTGTTATCTTATTCCGGGAAAAATTGGTCCGGTTTTATTCATTTTTAAATATTAGAATTTAATCTAATCCGGTTCGGGACCTGAGCAGGAAACATTGCTGTATATTTACCAATATTGTTGTTGGGTAGCCGTCGTTGGTTCCTTGTTCTTGTTGATTTTAGCCATCTATGAGGTGATAAAACAATTTACATATACTTTTTTTGGCATGACTTCTCACTGTAAAGGTACTATCACAGTAAACAACAAGGTTAGCTTTTTAAAAAAAAAGCTGAGAGTCAGCCACTGGAATACAGAAAGTTTCTTTCTTGTTTTGTGATGGTATATGATTTGTTTTATTCATCATGTTGTGTTCATTAAAAGTCATTGTCGTCTAAGTTAAAATTCGCCCAGTCGTTTTCTTATTTGTAACATAATGCTGTACATAATAAATAATAAAGCATAGAATAAATTTTAGTTATACTACATCGTGATCTTTATGATGACCTCCAATTAATTTCTCTTGGACGCGGACATCAGATACAGGCCCGTAGGAAGCAATTTCAGTTAGGGGAGGGGGGGGGCACAGCCATACATTTTCAGTTGGAGGGGCACTATTAACTACCAAAAATTCCTTGACAAGCAAAAAAAAAAAAAAACAAAACAAAAAGGTCATCAGACGTTTTTATTGAGGGGGCATGAGCATATAGTAGCCAATCTTTCTATAGTAGTCTATATATCAGAAAAATTATTGGGGGGGCACGATCCCCCCTCCCCCCCCCCCCCCCATTCCTATGGCCATGAGATAAAGTTCGTCTTAGAAATTAACAAAGCCACTATGATCCCAATCATTGAACGTTGAAGAATGTATACATTTTCAATTTTACTGTTAAATTCTATAAATGATATAGATTATGATGCTAAAAAGGAAGGTAGACCTTGGGTTAGATTGTGTTAATTATTATTAGATAAAAGTTTTTAATCGTGCATGTTCGATGCAATGCATGATAGGGGAAGGGGGAGGGGTGCATACTGTATGTATATAATTTTTTCAATTTCTAAATTTAAGCATTCATTTTAGTGTTACTAGGAAAGAAAAGAATTGCTTCCAAAATAAAGTAATAAACTGGAAATTCAAAATATTTTATACATACAGTACGTATACCCTAAAATGATACTGGATTCCATCTCGCTCACTCTCTCTAATTGGGGGGGGCTGTCTATAAATCTGCGCAGTTTCTCTCAACTCTCAAGTTCTACTGTCGTGCACAAGTGGCACTTACATGTCTATTATCGTGTAAATTTTAAGACTTTACACATCTTAAGTGATCTTCTGACGTTTTCATAACTTTCATCATTAAAGTGAAAAGAGATTCTTTTTTTCACTGTTTTGGGACCTTTGTGCAAGTGGATTATTGTGTGAATTCCAACGCGTACATGTCATATGCAAGGTATTGATCGAGGGAGTCTTGCATCAGGCATTCAGAGGAATACACACAAATCCGTGAACCTGCAACGGCGATTGAGGGTATATATATATCAAGTGTTAAATGTGCTCTGCATATAAACGTCTCATCTTCTATAAGAAGCACTGAAATATTTTCATAGTATCATATTTCCCACTTAGAACAATCTCTTCTTTAATTTTTCGTCGAGAACGACGAAGAACAATGCAGTCTATATATAGATCGAGGTCAAGAATCACGCCCTTTGGTTGGAACAAATAGTACGAGTTTCTTTAGAACAAGTCGTGTACATCTTTTTCCCAGAATTCCAAATTACGCAAGCGCACTTGCAGTTTCATCCCACCGTAACTAGTAAGCCCGTGGGCTGACTAAATATATTACCTCCCTTTAAGCTTCATATGACGCTGAACGCTTTTTATTGTTCAGAGCAATCTTCTAAGCTTGTCTGCATTCTGTATGATTTTAAAACAAGTCTTTTAAAGAAAATTCTTTCAATCCCTGTAGAAAGCAGGCCATCAGGGAAACTTTCAGATATATGTGTAGGGTTGTGGTTAACTTTGAAACCTTAGGGGCCATGTGGGCTCCTAACTTTTTAAATTTTACGGGCCCACAATGTGATCCACGGGCCCACATTATATGTAAATTAAACATAACATCAACAACAAATCCTACATTTTTCTAATTGATTTTTTTTATTTGTAGTATCTATACATGTATGTTCGCAGTATATGAATTTTTTTTTCACGTTTTCTCTTTTCTTAGAACTTTGATCCGATAATATGTTCATTACATTTTGTAGTTTTTAACCTTATACAACTGAAGCGTCTATGGTTTAACAAGAGGGCATATTAAATAATAAATTACATTCAACCTGTAAAGAATTTTGATTCCGATCTTTTATTGTGTGCATTTGACACGGTAATTCAAATCCTATCTGTGAATAACTAGTCGAATGGAGTGTGTGACAACCATAGCCGATTGTTACAATATTTCTATTAGAACAATCTCAAACATTTGCTCTCATATCATATATCATCAGGCCCCAGGGCCATAAAACTTAGATGAGCTCACTTCTGATCTCAGTCTCACTTTTATCAAAGGAATTATAATAGTGGAAAAGTGAGACTGAGATCAAAAGTGAGCCCGTCTAAGTTTTATGGCCCCGGAGCCTGATTTAATGGAGGTTTCATCGCTTCAATTAATCGCAATTTTTGATCTCAGTCACGTACATGTTTGAGTAATATGCTTGTATGCAATACAAATACATGTAACCTAGGTTGATAGAGCATTTCCTTAAAAACTGAAAGTACATAAAATATAAAACTGAAGTGAAATGTGATTATGTTCCGGTAAAAAAATCATTCCCCTTGTTGGCGACTAGATTTTCAATATCTAGTCACCCAAAGCAAAATTTACTCACATTTGCTAGTGGGCAAGTGGTTATCCACAACCCTGGTGTGCTGGGGGGGGGGGGGGGGGGGGGGCTACCACTGACACTGCAACCAGTCACAAAATATGCACTGAGGAATTTTTCAGTCTGGGCATGCATGGTGCCATTGATGAAAACAGTTTATTATTATTGAAATATCAGTGATTAAACAAACAAATCACTCATTGGGGGTGTATTAAAAACCAGAATCTGCTTTATTTTAAAAACCAGAATCTGTGTTGCTGAATCTAACATATAATACCCAGTTCTCACCTACTAGTATGTAGTTTGCATCATGGATTGATGCTCTGTTTGAGCCACATTGAGAAGACCACAATTCAATATGCATAAATTTAAGAGAATGGGACTTAGTTCTCCAACATTTCAAATTCAATTAACTGTGATGCAAGACTTACACGAAGTGCTAAGGAATTCATGGTCATTTCGCAATTGAATTCACAAAGAAACCATGAAATAAACTGAAAATCACACAACTCCTCTGAATCACTAGTTTAATGAGCAAACAATATGAATTATTTTGATAATTGAAAATTAATTTAAAAAAAAAACAACAATTGATGGATATCGAATAAACATCTTGTTACACAGGTATCCTATAGTGTATTGTGGAAAAAAGCCCCCACCCCCACCCCCCTTATAGAATCTGAAAATAATAGTACCAGTAATAACAAATTTTAAGTCTTTAACCCTGATATTAAAAAAAAAAAATTGTTTTCAAAATGTAAAATATACACCTATGTACAGAGTTCTTAAAAGGGCAGAGGAAATTCTGGTAGGTCAAAAAATGGCCTTTCATCTATGTATTTGCAATTATTGGTCTCAATTGACTGAAGTATCTTAAAACTTGTGAATTAAAAAATCAAAGAGTATCAGTTTAGAGTCATAATTAAAATACTATTTTAATGGATCCAGTGTTTTCCCTAAGAACCGGCTACCGGCCAAATTGACCACTTCAATTGATAAAAATGCCGCTTAGAAATCAAAAATTAAAAAAAAATAATTGTTGTAAGGTCCACAGAGATTTGTTCGTATACCTCAGCCCCCAGTCTGTTACAATTGATCTCTAACCCTTTACTTTGAAATAAAGGGAGAACACTGTGACTCTCTTTAATTTTTCAACATTACATCAATAGTGATCAATATACGATTATGATACACGTACGATATTTGACTCGAAGTGCCAATGCAATTTTAGAGACATGGTTATCTATACTGTATACAGGGTTATTTTCGCCCTTTCACACTTGCAAACAATTTTGCCCTGTTTTGAATTCGCCCACTCATAGTTTTGTTTAAGAAATTATACTGTATTCTTTGAATTCGCCCCATTTTAAATTCGCCCAATTGAGGGTAGGGCGAAAGGGGCGAAAATAAAATGGGGGTGAAAATTTCCCTGTATACAGTAGTATTTTTAGCTAAGTCAGGGTTGTCCCTAAGACCCGGGGGCTGGGAAATTTCCCCGCTTATAATGACATTATTCCCTGGTTATTTTGGTATTCCTCCTCAATGCCCCTAACAACCATAAACCCCATTCTACTTTTTTAATGTCCCCTGACCCCTGCTACTTCAATTTTTAGAGACAACCCTGTAAGTGTTTACTAATTGGAATTAAAAATTTTCATCTGCAATTAGTGGGAAGTTTGAAAAAATGGCTTGCCTTTTTTCATTCTTGTGTAAAGTCCAGCGATGTCTAGAAGGTGATTGTGTAAAAGCCAAACAATGGGCACTAATTAGAGAGCATTAAGGGTTTAAAATTAAAAACTGAACAAAGTACATAAATTGGAGGATCATTTTGAGATTTATAAATTTATACATTGACAATGATCTCATAAATTTATACATGATCTTATGCCCTGTTCACACGGAGAGTTTAATTTGAATTAAACGTAAGTTACTGCGAATTAAATTTGATCCACATTCACAATTAATTAAATTCTGATGCATGCATAAGGGCAGAATTAAGTCACTGGCCACATGCTGATGGTTAAATATAGGTACTTGTGCTATTTTTGAGTGGAAAACAAAGGAAAATTATGTTAATCACTAAAATGCGTACAGACACTATGACATTATGTCAAATGTATATCTGCTCTGCACAATATGACATGATTTGTAAATGACATCCTAATACCCTCACTGAATAGCCTTGTTGTAGAAATAAAATTATAATTCGCATTAGTTTATTTTGCATTAGCTGTTGAGTGAACGCAATTTAATTCGCATTAGTTTAATTCGCATCATTTTACTTCGCATTTATTTACTGCAAATTAAACTCTCCATGTGAACAGGGCAATACTGTGGCGCTAATATTCAACTGTGGCTGAACTATGGTGATGATTTTCAGGGGCGATCATGTGACCCTGTCTATTAGTTTACTTCCGACTGTCTCGGATTTCGTTTTTTCATCGATCGTGTTGATATCTTTATTATCAATGCACAGAATTTCTTCAATTTTTAGAATCATTTTCTAGGTTAATATAATTCCCAAATCCATAAATGTCTCAAAAAAATTATGTTTACTATGCAAAACCTTAAGCGGTGAAATCTAGTATTGTTATAAATGCAAAAATCCAAAACAGAAGATTGATTGATTGCATGTTGTTTAACGTCCCTCTCAAGAATTTTCACTCATATGGAGATGCCACCACTTGCCGGTGGAGAGCTGCAAATTTTGTCCTATACTCTGCACTTACGGCCATTGAGCAGTGAGGGATCTTTTTCGTGCCAGCACCTACTGTGACACAGGACCTCGGTTTATATTGTCTCATCCGAAGGACTGTTCTCCATGTCCCACAGTGGGATTCGAACCCGTGACGTAAGGATCAACTCCTTACTTCGCAACTCTAGAGCAGGCACTCTAACCACTGTGCCACGCGGGCGACCGAAAATGGAAGAGGACTTGGAGATGAAGACTGAATGTTATAGAATTATTAAGTAAATAGATGTGTAATGAAATAAATAAATGTTATGCTTTTTTTTTTTTAATTTTGCGATTTATTATTTCAGACTGGCAAAATCACTTAGGACCAGCTTATTTTGTCTTCTTGCCAGTCCGAATGACTGGCTATCTGAAAAAGTTTTCCACAACTCTGCCACACTAGTATACAAACTACACAGCTGCGTAATTATATTAGGCTTCCGGAAATGTCATATTAATTCATACCCCGTGAAATACAGACAATATAAAAAGGTTTCTTGACTAGTGATTACTGATTAATCTATTATAGAGTGAATGAAAAAGGTGATGATATGTTTTTTTTACAATGTTTGTTTTTAATTCTATGTTATTAAATGCCTAAAAAATTTAAGTAGGCATCAAAACCAATCACATTTTTCACCAGTAATGAACTTTGTAAAATCATTCAATTTATTATTTTGACTGATACAGTACTGAAAGATGGGGTCAAAATAATAAATTGAATGATTTTACAAAGTATTATTATATAAAGTTTGCATCATCAAAGAATGTCATATGAGAGGGATTTTTTTTTCATAAAATGTTAACATGATTATTTCATCTTAAGTGCAGATGCATATGTATCTGTAAAAAAAAAACTTTGAACACCATGTAACCCCTGCATGATTGGAAGTTCTGTTCTAAATTAAGATCTTTCAAGGCAGTGCTGTACTTCACTTATAAGTGACTTATAAGTGACTCATACTTGATAAAGTATGATGGGCTTATACTTGACTTACAAGTCACTTATAAGTGACTATACTTGCATAAAGCAAAAGTGGCTAATACTTGGCTTATAAATCACTTATAAGTCAAGCACCTCATTTGCATATAAAATCCTAATGAGTCACTTATCAGTTACTTATAAGTTAAATGTATCAGTGAAGTATAAGTCCAGTATAAACAACTTATAAGTAAAAGAATAAATCACTTATAAGTCACTTATCAGAAATTTCTGTAAGGTTAGACACTAACTTTTAAAGCATAATAGACCACAGGACTGTAGTGACTTTGAATTCTTACTAGCCCTGGTAATGAATTACTTGTCCAGCAATAGAAAAAAAGTTACATAATTAAGAATAATGGATGCATAAATAAACAGTAAGATTACATTTTATATATTAGATTGACATGAGAAGAATACTCATTACTACACAGTTTAGTATCAATTTCACAATTTTCAAAAGTGACAGACATGCAATGGAGCATATCTAATTCCTGTCTGTTGTCACCAACGGGTAAAATTCATGAGATAATCAAGCCATTTTGTGTTTACAAGCAGTAATTGGGGTCTGAAATGGAATTGAAATTGTGTTTCAGTATTTGGAATCTAAGGACTTTGCCTCAGAAAATAACACACCGAGATTTTTTTAGTGTCAGCATAAATATTTTGGTGTAATTTTTTTTTTTCAGAAAACCTTTAACATAACTCATTTTAGAATTCAGATACTTTAGATCTATCAGCTTCATTTTGAATAATGTAAGTAAATACACTTGATTTGTTATTCTAATTCTGAAATATATATTTTCAGTGAGGACAACCATCTAAGATCAGCATGAGTTACCAGAAAGTGTACATGAACCAGATCTACTCCAGCTCCATTATGAGACAGGTGGCTCAGATGTGGAAAAGTCAGCTATTGTGTGATGCTGTCATTAAAACTGGGAATGTTCACACAAAGGTATTGAAAGAAAGCTATTAAATAAGTGGTACATGTAATGCACAGTGTCAGTCAGTGTGTCATAGTTTATCAATATTTTCCAGATATGTATTTTAGGTCAAATGGATTAAGATCAAATTGTCAGAAAAAAATATTGAAATGACCATGACCAAATTGAAGAAACACTAGGCATATATCTTCTTCATTATTCTTAATGAACTGATTTTATTTTCAATTGTGCATTGGACTTTGATTGGTTGAAATATTGTTGTTGATATTTAGTACATTGTAAGTAGTCATGGTGTTGTTGTCAACTACACTATAACATGTATAATGCAGTTTCATTTTTTCTGTCATATTTTTGACAACTTTAAAGCTAATTTTAGAAAAGTCTATTAATTGACATAAGAATATCTATGGAGTACATGATATAATATGTGAATGTCCTTTTATCTTTTCAGGCTCATAGGTTAGTGCTAATTGCTGCATGTCCCATGCTTCAAGACACAGAAAATGCCTCGGTGGGATCACATTTAGAAGTACGACTAAATTCTGACATCAGTGAATCTGCTGTGAAAATATTTCTACAGTACCTGTATGAAGGGTACATGATGTTAACAGAAGATAACTGTAGAGATGTGGAGAAGATTGCCAAGATGCTTCATGTGGACAGTATTACAAAATGTTGCACTGACTTTCAGAAATGCATGAATGCTAAGATGGGATACAGTTCATCCCAAAGACTGAATTTTGATTTACAAGACAGTGCAGATTTTCGTTTTGTCAACACAACAGATTTGCAAAAAATGGTTCCAGAGGGTCAGCACAAAAGACAAAATAAAGAAATGATTTCAGACAATCCTGCCTCCAAGAGACCTAGATTCCAGTCATTTGGAAGTTTTTCTAGCTATGCCTCACAAAGGCCAGATGATCACTTATCTATGAATGACAGTTATAACTCAGTCAGGAATTCAAATCAAAGGGAGGGGATCATTGACATCAGTGAAAATAGTGTAGAACTAATAAACATTGGCCCAGGTGCCAGAGATTCAGATGGATGGCCTGTTAATACTGACTTACCACCTATCAGAACCAGCTCCTCAGTTTCAGTGGCTAATCAACAGGAAAGAGAAACAGATGTGCAAATTGTTAATGTGCAACCAGCCAGAGTTGACAGGCCACAGCCTCAGCCATCTCAGCAAGGCAGCGCAACCACATTTAGCAGACACCAGGACACAAGAGGCAGCACTCTAGTGGCTGGACAATCTCCGGGCATACCTGAAAGATCATTAATTGTTCAGAGTCATTCACCAAAATCTACAAGGCGCCCTGATGAATCTCCTCAGTATATGCCTTCAAACATTCCTCAGTTGTCACCCTTAAGCTCAACTTCACCAAAAAGTGTTCAGAAACACAGAGAAACAGATGATCATGACACTCACAGGCCCTTTGCTCTAGGCTCAGCACCAACTGGGCCTAGGTCTATTTCTCTGTCATCCTCCTCCACTGTTCATCCTGTAGATGTTGTGAAAAATGCTGGTTTGTATGAGTCACAGAAATTCACTGCAGACAACACAAAGCAAAACAACATGACTATGGAGACAGGAAATAAAAGGTTTGGTATTAAGATTAAGAAATACATGTAATTTATAGAACAATAGGAAATGTAAAAAATTGCATGTTGTAGTCCTAATGTTACATTCAAATTACATGCATGAAGAAAATAATACTTTTTTACACAGAAACTCAGCTTCACCAGAGCCAATAATTGTGAAGTTGGAGGATGATAATACTGAATCTGGAGATATAGAACTGTACATCCAAAATCCTCAAAATGACTCCTTCAACACTGACCCTGGAGATCCGGGTGGAGAAAGCCAGGGTGAGCTTGATCCAGATATGTCTAATGATGATAGCATGAGTATGGATCCAGGGTCATCTTGGCAATCACAGGAGGGCCAAACAACAGGTGAGGAGACTGGTTTTGTGTATAAGAAAAAGTTGCTGTGAACACCATTGTAATTGCTACTTATATGCTAAGTTCTGCTAATAATAATGTTTCTGAACTTTTGAAAAACTCATCGCAGCACTGTTAAGGCATACTATGAAGAAATCAATGAAATATAGACTGATAGATGTTCAAAAATACATACCTTTTAAAACTGATTTGTTTTTGTAAACTATTACTAGTATTTTATCACATAAATTTAATATTAATTGAAATAACATAGTAAAATCCCACTCTGTGGTAAATTTAGCTTGGTCACCTGGCCCCGGGGCCATAAAACTTAGACAAGTTCACGTTTGATCTCAGTCTCACTTTTCCACTATTAATTCCTTTGGTAAAAGTGAGACTGAGATCAAAAGTGAGCTCGTCTAAGTTTTATGGCCCTGAAGCCTGATTTAACATTCATGTGATAAATGCATATAAGGTGTATTGTATGGAGGTCATGAACAAATTTCAATATCACAAGGGCATACCCTCATTCAAAGTAAAATTTTAATTCATAAACTGTTTCTATACATCTTGTGCTTTCTGTAAAGTGCTGCTGCTCTAACTAGAATTCGCATTTTATTAGTTTAAGTTTCAAGTAATTGGACGCCACCTGAAAAATGGGTAACCTTTATCAAGTATTTTATGTGTTTATTAAGTAATGTTCTTGATTTCACAAAAGCAGCAGCTTTTCAAGTTAAGAAACACTTCTTTTATCTATATTCTAAAAATTGTCAAGATCTATTAAGTGTATGCCCTTGTGCTAGGGCAATTTATTGAGGCACCTCGAAGCTTACATGCTAGATGTATGCTATATGGGATTAATGTAATCAGCATCATTAGGAGTAAGTTAATTTAATTACGTACAGGTTTAGTGAATAATATCCACATTTACAAAACCATTTTTGTGCACATTATTGACATTGTTTGTTTACAGTAAATTTGCTTTGAGATTTTATTACAAAGTTTAAGATTTTATCAAAAGGGTCTTTACCATGTTTACCATGGTGCAGTGGTTAGAACTAAGGTCTCTCTTTGTTCTAAGATGTGGAATAAGGAGTTGATCTTTACGTCTAATCCCACTGCAAGACATGGAGACGAGGCCTTAAGACAGTATAAACGAGGCCCCATGTCACAGTAGAACTGAAGCTAGCACAAAAAAGTTTTCTAACTGCTTAATCATGTTAATGGCCATTAGGTCTTATGGTTCACTGACCCTCTGATAAGAGAGATAATTCTCAGTCAGTCACTGGGATAAAGAACTCTTATTATTTTATAGATTTATAAAGATAAAAGGCCATTCTTATCAAATTTTACCATGCAATGTATGCTTAAACTTTGTTCATTTGAGCTAATATGAATATTGTTTTTTGAAAATGACTAAGTATTAAACATGTCAAAATTTTAAAATTTTTTTTGAGTGAACAGAAAAATGATAAACATTTATTCAGCCTTCCTTTGGCAGTTGGTGGCATCCCTGCATGAGTGAATTGATTTTGAAGGAAAGTAAACCAAAATCAAAAAGCAAATAAAAACCAAGAAAATAAAAGAATAATTTTGAAATAAAAATAAATAAAGGTATTCTGTATGTACTGATACATTTATAAACAGAGTATTTTAGAACTTCTAATCCAAAATATACAAGTACTGGAATATTGCCCTTACCCTAGATTAGCAGTCACCTAATTAGTATTCCTAACCTTTCTGTCCATTGTGCTTTGTTATGGTAGTGTTTGGCATGCTTCAGTGTTGTGTACTACATGTATTCTTTTTATCCTTTTGTATGTTAACAAATTTTATTATTAATAAGCATATTAACTAAAGATAGAATGAAATTCAGAAGCTCAGAAAGTTCAGAGTAATAAAGCTACATTGTACTTGTAGTAAAAATGGTTCATGTGTTTGCAGCAACTTATGTATATCATACTATATGCAAATTTGGCATTATACATGTGCGAATCTAGAGGGGGGTCGGGTGGAATTTGCAGAGTAGTAAAAAGAATATACTGAAGCAAATAAAAAATGACTTTGGACCCCTCCATCACCACCACAAAATAGACGTTTTTCACGTTTGGGAAATGGATTGTACATTTTTTTGTCAAGAAAATTTTCTGGGTTTATTATGTTTGGGAAAGAAATTTACATTTTGTAAGTTATGACTCTTTTCCTGTTGTTTATGATTTACTGGCCATCTAATTTTTTCTTGGTGGGAGGGAGGTATGGGGTGATTTGATTTGAGAAATACAAATGATAGAGAGAGAGAGAGCTGAATCAGATATACATGATTCAGGAAGTTGATAATAAATGTGTTGTATGTTCATGGCTAAGTTTATAAAAGCCTCCAAATAAAAACATGCACAGCAATATTATAAATGCTTGATATATGAATTATGTTATAAGCTAACAGACAGAAAACTCTCCTTGTGAGTTTCTCAGTTTCAAGCATTGATGTAAAACATACATGTAAATCAAACTGATTAATGGATTGGTTTCCCAGAAGCAGATTATGTCACTGTTTTATGAAATACTTTATCATTCAACCTGCCAGATCATCAAAATTAGGGCTGGGACGATATATCGAGATAATGATTCTGTGTAAGGAAGATAAGTGTATCAATACATATGAAGAAATATTGAAATATCGCAAAAAAAATTCTGACTTATGTTTTTCTTTGTTTACTTAACATTTTGGGTTTAATATACATGATATACAAAATGAATATACTAAACATAAATATAAATATGAAAAACGTAATTATTAACACCACTTGTGTAAAATAATTTTGTTTTACAACAGATATACAACTTCTTTGAATAAATTATTCTTATTTGTGAAGAAATGTTTTGTTCATTTCAACACCAACAAAAGATTAACCAAATCAACATATCATGTTACATATCATATTGTGGCTCAAATATCGCGATACATATCAATATAGAAAAATGTTATATCGTACCAGCCCTAATCAAAATTGTAAATAAACAAGGCAAAAAAATATCCTACTACATTCAGAAGATTCATTAAATTTTGTTGCCATGTAATTCAATGTACATTTCATGCTTCTACTTAAAAATCCTGGCTGTAAAAGATGGTCTGAATATACAGGTATATGTGGCACAGACCCTCACTTAAGGCAGGCATCAATTATATATGACATGTGTAATAGTGTAATCCTTCCTTCAAAATCTTTTGAAACTCCTCTTTGTGTGAATCAACTCCATAATGATCACATGAATACAGCTTTTTTAAAAAGTGTAATAATCTATAAATAATTCTTGTAATAGATTTTTGCTGATTGTTGTTAAAAAAAATCTTACTGATAAATTTATATTTAGTAAGCAAGAAAAAAAAAAGCAGTGCATTAATTCATACAAAGTTTGAGCATAAAATGTGTACATAATGAGTAAAACTGCTTAATTTTATCTTACATAATGATCTTTGATTAAATATCCATTAAACACTAGCAAGAATATGTACATTAAGTTATTCCAAATGGAAATATGATGAATTTGGAATTCTTTGTACAGACAATGAATCAAACATGAAATTGAAAATTCATTATTTAAAAAATGATTGAAATTATTAGCAATGTATTGTTTAAAAAAACAACATATTTCATATTATGTACTATCAAATATTTGTATGTATGGTAGGAATATCCAAATCATGAAAAATCCAAAAGTGTGTAACATAGATATATTTCATTCTGAATGTCCCCAATAAATATGACAGAGAAAGACTTGTGAAAGTTTATTATTATAGGACTTCATTGTACTTTAGACCCAGCAGGTAGATCTATGAAGAAGACTGCTAAAGGAAATAATAATAATTGTTCAAGTGAATCATCAAGAAGGAAAGCAAATATCAATGGAATGGAAAAACTAGCAACACAAGTGAGTGTCCTAACAAAAGACATGTCTAAACTTTGTGAGAGTAGTTTCTCAATTCAATATATGGTGGAGGAACTGGTTGAAAGTTCCAACACTATAGAAAAACTGTTAATAAATATGACACCGGGATTAGATATTGATGAGGAGACAGAGGAAATGGGGGGAAATGGAACTGCAAGTGAAGCTGGAAATTCAAGAAATCCCGTGTCTTCTGAGAATGACCCAGTAATTGTTCAGAAAAAATCAATGTCCAACACTGATAAATTCTTTGCAATGGCATCTGAATCCGCTAAGGCACAGGCCAGAAGTAGGCGTAACGATGATTTTTCTGATATTCCAAAGTCTTATAGAATATCCAAAGTTGCATTAGAGGAAATGAAAGCAAACTCAAAGAATGCAGGAGTTTTTGCAGGAAATGTCATCAAAATGTTGTTTCCAGAACTGTTTGGTCCAAGCAATCTGAGATTTAAGTATTCTTTCTTTGGTGGTGGAATATTGAAGAAAAATGAATTAGATCGTCAAAGAAAGTCATACATGAGACGTTATGTGACAGCAACATATCCTGAAATCTTTTCTGAAGGGGACTGGAAAGATATTGTAAACAAAGTGAATGAAATGTTACGGCGTCCTGCTCATTCAAGCAGAAAAAATGTCAAAGGTGAACTAGAAGAGAATAATGACAATTGATAGGCACACTCAAGCAAAGATCCTTAATTCAGACAGGAATTCCGTCAAGTAGAAAAAAATATCAAGTACCTATTAGTAATGAACATAAAAAGAACTGTGAAGAAAATGTATTTGTATGTTAATATTTGAAAATATTGTACAGATAAGGTAATTCAAACGAGAATTACGATGAGGGATATGTTTAATCTGAGTGATAACCAAGAAGCTAATCTGTGTCATTCAGCTAGTCTGAGAGACTAGCCTGAATAGATAGATTTTGTTTCTGTAAATTTTTCTAGTTTTTCTTGCTGGATATTGTAGATTCCTTATTTTTCGCGAGTACCCATTTTCGCGAAATGACTCTTTTACGTCAAATCGCGAGAACAATAATTCGCGAGTGGACGGTTGATCGAGATATTTTACATTGATTTCAGCACCATAAAAATAAAAGCGAGTAATTTTATTTCGCGAATGGTGCTTCTCGCGTAATTACGCGATAATTTATTCCTCGCGTACATTTAGGAATCTACAGTATTGCTAAAATTTGGTAGATTTGTTAGATTTTCCTCCCTGATGAATATAAATGTTATACAACCTGTGAACAAATCTGAGTTGAAATTGTCATGATTGTCTGGGCATTCTAATCAGTTCCACTTCGTGTCTGAGAAACAACATTTTTTTTTTTTATAGATTTATTGCTTTTTTTGATCAAGTTAGATTATGGTCTCTGTAAGTTTCTTCCTATGTCATAGCTTTGAACTGCTGGAATTATAAAGGCTCTAACTTCATTAATAAAACATGTTTCCTCTGCAGTGTTTATAAAACCATTCGGTAAGGATATCCAGAGCTAAAAGGGAAAAGTGAAATTTATAACGTAGGAATAGAGCTAGGGTTTTTGAAAGCATGCTTTTTGTACGGACATGTACAGCAAATTTCATTTAGAATAGGGTAAGAGTGTAAGAATATCACTGTACAGGTATGCCCTATTTTGCATGTGCCATGTTGGGTTATTAGTTCTGTCCAAATAACTAATTTAATAAGAGTAATAATAAATTTCCTCAGAAGAAACGTCCTAACCAAAGTTTTTCTCTTAGTAGGTCTCCATGCCTCAAGTTCAGTGAAAGTTGTTTCTCAGGAGGCACCCGTTGTTCCAGTGGGCATGCCCATTTGTGCTAAAATTGCTGGTAGTTTCTTCTGCAAACACTGCAGTGAAAGATTTTCTTATGAGATAGACTTAGTACAACACCTCCAAGCAGTGGAGAGGTTAAATGTTTGTAGAGTATGCCGTGTTTGTGGCAAATATTTCAGATCTTCTAATGGGCATAAGTATCATATGCTTATGAACCACAATGCAAATAAAAGTAATTATCGTTGTCAAATTTGTGGAAGATTTTGTCAGGGTGCAAGCTTTTTAAGAAAGCATTTGAAAACTCATGACAAAACTAAAGAGTAGCGAAAATATAGGATGACTTGTCTTTTTCCCCCTCATCCCTGCTATTATTATTATTCCAAAAACTTTAATTTGATAACATTGTGAGCTTGTACAGTATATGTTCAAATGATTCTGGTGTTTGTAGGGTTTGCCAACTTCCCAAAGAATAGTATTAGTAGTAAGAACATTGTATGATACTGTAGTACTTATTTGCCTTTCAAAGTGAAATTCGTTGTCAGTTTGAATAATACATGTACATAGAAAGAGTATCCCACAGAATTGAATTAAGTGATTTTCAATAATACATTTTCCTCATTAGCGTTTCAATTGAATGAGCTAATTTCAGTTACCTATAAAATATGTATTCCATACATTGTGTTTGATTTTTTAGGTGAAGATAGTGTTATTTTGGATAACATGGTATACCATTTTAAAAAAATTCTATCCCCCAAAAACTTGTATTGTCCAGACCCCCTGGCCAACTTATTTTGCAACATTAAAATACTAGTAAATAGAATTTTAATGGCAATCACTCCTCTGTAGAATTATTTCAGTGGTATGTACATCTAGAAGTTGTAAAAATTTGTTACATGTAAATTGTTTGAGTTAAAGTTGTGTTTGGTGTTACGTTATGTACCATTTTGCAAGTTCAAATTTAACGTACGTTTTCATAAGTTTGCATGATAGACTTTAGAGGCAATAAATGATTAAAAATTACATTGTATTTTCTTTCTTTCTTTTTTGATCTATTAGTTATTTGAATACTTCAAAATGTGTAACATTTTTGAGTAGGGAAAAATCCCTTCATCATTCTAAGAACTGAAATTCTTGCAAAGTATGCCTACTGTCATAATAAGCAAAAGATCGTTAAAATCTTTTACATTTGTACACAATTTAAATGAAAGCTTATTTTGGTATGCAGATTGAAATAATCAAGTTAAAAAAAGTGCATTAAAAATTAAATATTTGTTAGTCGAATACCATTGCTGCAATTGGACCTGTATGGGCAGCTTGAACGTGAACCAGTTCATGTAGGAATTGAACTAAACGCATAAATGTTCAATATATTATTTGCTCAATTGATGCATAGCATTACTCAATAAAGCCTCTCCATATATTTCATTCTGCAGCTCATCCTTTAAAACTGGCAAATATGAAACTGGATCATAGTGAACTATAACCTGTCAGGTCCACTTGCGTTGAAAAAAATGATTCAAAAGAAAGAAAAATGCAACGATTTCTCTTTTCTCTTTGTATCTCTAAACTTTTCTCTCTTCTTAGGGATCAAAGGGACAGGAGAAGTCGGATCAGCAGTAAGATTGAATAGTGCGTCGTTCCAGTGTAAAAAATGTGGCATGTGTTTCTCCAATGGCGAGTCACTCGTAACACATCTTAAAGAGGTCGAAAAGAAAAAATACGTTCAAATGTGCACTAAATGTGGAGAGGTCTTCTTCTTAATGCGAACATACCGATATCATTTGCAAATCAAACATGGAGTAGTTACCAAGTGCCCAAAGTGTTCAGTTTGTGGAAGTTATTTCCAAGACAATTACAATCTCAATCGTCATATGATAACCCATCGGTCAATGTATATATGTAACATATGTGGTCAGATGTATAAAAATCAATCCATGCTATCAGTTCACCAAAAGTTTTGTGAACCATCGTCTCTAGACGATTCGAATAGTGGACAAAAAAGAAAGGTATAATTAATATGTAATGATCTTGCTGGAGGTTAAGCTTGCAAAGTACTAATGTGATCATAAATTTGAATTTGCAGACGTTACGACGCATGGTCTGCTGTGTCAGTTCTGCAAGAAAGTGTTTAATCGAGCAGACGAACTGTTCCAACATCTACGTCTAGATGAAAAGTATAACGGCATCGTAGAATTTTGTTCGTCCTGCCATGCCATTTTCTACACATCCCAATCTTACCAAGATCATATAATGAAGCACCATTCAGGAGCTAAAAATCAGTGCCCCATCTGTGGAGTCATTGTGAAGTATGCTTGTAATTTCCGCCGTCATGTTGCAAGTCATTCAATGGAAAGACCATTTCTGTGTGGAAACTGTAAACACAGTTTTAAAAGGAAAGATCACTTAAAGGATCATCTGTTGAAGTGTAATAAAGTTCCCAAATCTGACATTTGATGATAGTATTTCATACTCGTTATTTAAGTATCATTTTTATGAGACTTAAATGAAAAAGAGGGGGGAAATAACGGGAAACAGTTTGTGCTACTTTTCTTTTGAGAAATTTGTATACATAAAAAATGTGTTTCTAAGTGAATATATGAGATGTATGCAGAAATAAAGTAAAATTTTACAAGCATTTTAGTCACATATTGTAGATAATTGAATTCCTTGATGTATATTGAAAATTAAATCTGTTAAAAGCACTTGTATTGAGGAGTTGATATATACTAACTTGGGACGAAGGGTGCTAATGTAAATGCTGGTTCATTACCTAGGTGGTTATTTTTCCTTTTTTATTTTTTTGATTTCCATTAATTTGTTCAAATCTCGTCTATTGTGAGCCAAGTTAGTGTAAATATGTTTAAAATATCATGATTTATTTATTTGTCTTAGTAACTAGCGGTATTTCTTCATGTTTGAGAAAAATAAAATTGATACGTATGCATGCAAAGTCAATGTCCTTGAATGAAAAAAGGTTTATTTTGGAAAGTGTGTTCAAAAATCTGATCGCTTTGCTTAAGAAGTGCATACTCCTCCAAGTTGTGTAGTGTATTGTGTATAGGGTATTCATAATAACCCATTTTAAGGTATTTTGATTGTCATGTGACGTCATAAAAGTGTTCCAGTTGCATTTCGAGATTAAACAGTTTAACTCCTCATGTGCCTTACATTTATGAACTAAAGCAGGTAAATTGCAAATTCTTGACATTTGTATAAGGCTTCAACATTTGAAAAGCCTTGGACTCGGATGCATTAAACATCGCAAATGACTGTAGGGAAAATCTATTTCGAGACAAACTCAACCCAAGCGTGCATGATCATTTTGTTTTTCAGCTCAAGGTTTCAAATCAAAGTTAATTGATACATGTAGTTTCAGTTTTGCCAAAAATGTACACAAAGACGGAATCCTTGTACAATCAGTGTCCCATTTAGAGTTTTATGTTGTCTTTATAAACAAACATGAATAAACTTCTTTAAAATTGTTTTGCCGACATTGTTCTCTTGAACCCCGTTTTTGTTTACCCATCGTAATGATGTTTTCAAATTGAAACATACGTAAAGGAATTTTTTAAATTAAAGTGATTTTTTCACAAATTGTTTAAAATTGTAGAGTTATCTACGGAACATGGGCTATGCTGCAAATTTTGTGAGAGAAAATTCACGTCAGAAATAGAACTTGTTTGCCATTTAGAAGTAGACGAAAACTACACTGAGAATGTAAAAGTCTGTAATATTTGCCATGTGGCTGTCTACACGGCGCAGGAATTTTACGAACATGTGATTAGGATACACCCAAACTTGAGATCTCATTGCCCTGTTTGCGGAATGCTGATGAAACATCAGTGCAATTTTCTTCGACACCTTTCCAGCCATTTCACGGAGAAACCTTTCAACTGTGGCAACTGTGGAAATAGTTTTAAAAGGAAGGATAAAATGAAGGCGCACGAACGCAGGTGTATGACGCAGAATTTCATGAAGGATAATTAACTTATCTTTGGATTGCGGAGAGTTCGACCCAACGTAATGCTGGATGCTGGATGCAATATTGTCGTGCTTTTATAAAGATTGTAAACATTAAAAAAAAAGAATTAATAGTTTTCAACCAAAAAGTTTCCTGAAGAAATGATTTCATTTGATTTGATTGCTTCATTTGTTCCATTTGTGCATGTATTGGACATAAAATTATTTAATACATGAAGATGTTTGGTTATTGGAAATTGTCTAAAAGGATTTGAATTGTTTGACAATGATTGTCTGGAGAATAGACCTTGTTCACAATTTATCATTATTGAATTCAATAAGAATTGTCATATTTGTATACTTTTTAAAGTTAATATACTTTTTTGAGTTCTATTACAGAAATTTTGAACATTATTTTACGTTTTTTGTAGATAATTCAGAATGTACGCATGTACATGTATTTACAAGTATGTAATGGACATTGATTGCTAAGCAATAAGCATGATAAACTACTTTTAATAGACTTGTGAACTCTGACATGAAAATTGAATGAAAGTTCATTTTAATTTATAGGGAGCACTTCAAAGTCGGGAATGCAGTGTAAATTCTGCAAGATTTCTTTCAAAGATGCCACAAGTCTCATCTCTCATTTACGATTCGACGAAAGTTACACAGAAAACGTCAATATCTGTGTAAAATGTAACCTGGCATTTTACTCTGCCTCTGAGTTTCAGGACCATTTATATTACCAACACTCCGAGGACAAGGATATTTGTCCTGTCTGTGGAATTACTGTGAAGCGAAACTTCCGCAGACACCTTGCGTGTCATTTTGTTGATCGACCATTTGTGTGTTCGGTTTGTGGTTGCCGATTCAAACGAAAGGATAACATGATGGGTCACCAGCGTAGATGCCAGAAAAAGTCATAGTGTAATCAAGGGGAGATATACTGTCTTGTCTTAATATTGTATTTTTTTTTTCAAAAACCTGAGAATTATGCCAGTCATTCTTCAGATTTTTGAAATGTCATTACAATCATTTTACCTGTTGATGTCGTGTGAATCGTCCATGGTACTTTCATAAATATCATTTTTAATTTTACTGGTTATTTGTTCTAATTATCAAGTATTTAAAATTACATGTATTTTTTGTTTCATGTATTTTTTAAATTACTAAATAAAGTACTTAAAACCTTTTTGGGATTCATTAGAAAATTGTTATTTTCACTTGTCAAATAATAAAAAAGGAAGATTCAACTAAGGTAAAATTAAGGTAGTTCCCTGGCGAATTTCTCTCAGAGTTGTTACATGTAAAACTGTAACAGCTATTTATACTATGATGATTACAAACTGTAATTGTTTTTATGTTAAAACCTTACTGGTAGTCCAAGGCAACATAGCAGCTCTAGTTTGAAACATATAATGAAACATGATGTTTTCAAAATTCTCAACACAGATAATAAATTGTAATTAAAAATGTTCATTTTTGTAATATTTTTGTTTGTTTCCTGTTTACCGACGTCCCTATTTTTCACTCTTGTTGAGACACAACCACTTGTCAGTGGAGGGCTGCAAATTCAGACATGTACTCGGCACTTAAGGCCTTTGAGCAGTAAGGAACGACACGGGACCTTGGTGTATATAGACTCTACGTCACGTACACTGTGATTTCAAACCCGCGATGTAAGGATCGACTCCTTACTCCGCGACCCTTGGAGCAAACATTAACGCTCTAACCACCGATTTTTGTAATAAGATAATTCACAAGATATAATTTATGTGTTGTATCACTTTTCTGGATATTACATGACATTTTTAATGTCAAATCTGAAATAAGTTAAACAAGTTGCTTCGATTTTTGTTATATCCGTTTGATGACGAAAAGAATGAAGCTACGTTTTTGAGAACAGGATTTAAATGAGCGTATGCTACAGCTATCTGTTTTAAAAATAATATTCCTTAAGATTTTATTTTAAATTTGCAGGTAGGTTAATAATTCAGGGATTACAGTGCCAATTCTGCCAGGAATCGTTCAACCAGCTACAGGATCTCTGTCTTCA